CCATAAATGAAATTAATAAAATACTTCCATTTATAATAATATAAAAATAAAATAGGAAAATTTTACCACAGAGATAAAATATCTATAAACTGGAAACTATAAAACATTGATGAAATAAATTGAAAAGGACAGAAATAAATGGAAATACACCCCACATTCATGGATTAGAAGAATTTATATTGTTAAAATGCCATAACTTCTAAAAGTAATCCATAGATTCAATGCAGTTTCTATCAAAATTATAATGATATTATTCAGATAAATAGAAAAAATCCTCAAATTCTTTCTGTGGAACCACAGAAAGATCCCAAGTATTCAAACCAACCTTGAGAAAAATGTACCAAGCAGGAAACATCACACTATCTTATTTCAAAGTATATTGCAAAGCTACAGAAATCATAACAGCATGGTGCTGGTGTAAAAACAGACATGTAGGTCAATGAAACAGAACATAGATCTCAGAAATAAATCCATAAATTTGCAGTCAGTTGATCTTGGGTAAAGATTCAAAGAACATACAATGGGGAAACAGTAATCTCTTCAATAAACAGTGTTAGGGAAACTGGATATTGATACACAGGAGAATGAAACTTAAAATGGATTAAAGACTTAAACACAAGACTTGAAACTGTAAAACTAATAGAAGCAAATATAGGGGAAAAGAGCTTTTGGACACTGACCCCGTTTTTAGACATGGTATCAAGACGGAAGGCAGCAAAAGCTAGAAGCATCTCAGAATCTTATTTTGAATTACACACGTTGCATCAGACTGAAATGTTTTGCACAGCAAAGGAAATGACAGGGTGGAAAGAGAATCTACAGAAGGGAAAATATTATCAACTCTCACAATTGATAAGGGGTTAATACCCAAAACTTAAAAGTAACAGAAACAACTCAATAGCAAGAAAATAAACAGTCAAAGGACAAGAAGAGACATCTCTCAAAGGAAGACATGCAAATGGGCAAATATACATGAAAAAAATCTTCTACACCATTAGTAATCATGGAAATGCAAAGTGAAACCACAACAGGATATCATCTGCTGGGATGGCTATTACCAAAAATGATAAAGATAGTAAGCATTGGCAAAAATGTGGAAGAAAGGAAACCTTTGAAAACTGTTGGAGGGAATAAAAATTAGTGCAGCCATTTTGGAAAACAGCACAGATGTTCCTTAAAATTTTTTAAATACAATTGCCATATTATCTACCAATCCCACTTCTAGTTTTATGGCCAAAGGAAATAAAATCCTTTTCTCAAATATGAGTAGCTATCTACACTCCTGTGTTCGTTGCAGCATGATTCGTATTAGCCAAGATATGAAGCTAACCTAAGTATCTGTCAACAGCTGAATCAATAAAGAAAACATGACGCACACACTCACACAGGAATACTGTTCAGTCTTTAAAAGACAGGAATTTCATCCTTTGCAACAACGTTGGATGAACATGGAGGACATTTTGGAAGTGAAATAAAGAAGGTGTTAGTTTACATGTCCTCTTACCATGAATCCAGATACAGGCTGCGGCAAGCTGAGAGGAGGAAGGAGTGGTCTTCCCAAAGGCAGAGGAGACCATGCCCAGTAGCACTGTGACTCACAACTCACCACACTGCCAAGTGACTTAGAGATTGTGGCCAACTTGCCACCAGAAGAAAATCCTCCGTAAAATGCCTGAAGAATTACACTGGGTTGTGAATCCTAATTGAGAATACTCGATTAACGCAGATCAGCTAAAGGCTGATAAGAAATGTTGAAGCTTTTCAGTTCTGCTCATTTTCTTTTTTGCCTTTGTCTTAAAAAAAAAGATTTATTTATTTATTTATTTATTTGAAAGGCAGAGTTACAGAGAGGCAGAGGCAAAGAGAAAGGTCTTCCATCCGCTGATTCACTCCTCAGAAGGCTGCAACAGCTGGAGCTGTTCCAATCTGAAGCCAGGAACCAGGAGCTTCCTCCAGGTCTCCCATGTGGGTGTAGGGCTGAAGGACTTAGAACATCTTCTACTGCTTTCCCATTGCCTTTGTCTTTTGACAGCTAAAATTAATGGTAAAAGTATAACTCATGCTTTGCTGTGTTTCTTTCAGATGGTTTTTGGAATTCTCCAAGACTTTTCTTATCATGATAACATAGAAGACAGAAGGTTGCTGTGAGGATTGAATAAATAGACATTAGGCACTCTGCACAGTCTAAAAAGCACACAATAATTTGGTCACTTTTGTTCTGTTGTTGTGGTAGTGGTGACAGTGCTAACGAGGGTGTCATTGAGGAGGATGGTGGAGACTGTAGTGGTATTAGTTCTTCTGATGGTGATGATGTGGTGGTTATGATGGTGGTGGTGGCCGGTTGTAATGAAGACAGTGTGGGTGACATTGATGGTGGTAGTGCTGATAGTGGTAGCCATGATGGTGGCAGTAAGGACGATGATGGTGACAGTGGTAGTGAGGGCAATGGTGGAGGGGTGATGGTGAAAGTTATTATTGTGATATCTTTGGAACTAAGATATATAAGTGTTGACTACTCTGGATAAGCTTCTACGCTCCCACCACTCCCTAAACCCACTCAACCTCTAAGCAGCATCCTTCTCTTGGTGACTCCATACAACCACCTACCTGATAAAAGTCTGTCTTTCCATCTCCCCTCTGCCATTTCCCTCTTCCCAAGTTGCATGCATTCTCCTACTACAAGCCCTTCTCACCTGCTCCACTGAATCCAGATTACGAGTATCTCTGTATCTTTGCCAAGTACCATTATTTTTTAATTGTTCTCCCTTCCTCTTTTGTGTCGTCTGTTCTTTCATCTTTTATATACTTGCAGACCTGTCTTCTGTGGACACCATCATTCCAGAGCAGTGCTCATATTTGCACTGGCCTCCACAGGTTATTTGCTGTGTGATGTTGGGTGGTTTAATGCCCTTCCTTTTTGAAAGCTGATGTCTGGCTCAGATGCCTTGTGCGGCTCCTGGAAGAGCTCCGCTTGAGCTCCAGGCCTCTGGGTTGGCTTAGTCTACCTGCCTTAAAGTGACACAGCCAGCTGTCCCTGCATCATACACTCACCTTCGTGAATTCTCCTTCAGGGGCAATCTAAGCTTCTTTAGCCTTGAGTGTTCTGTATGTCATGAGTTGATACCAATGTAGGTTCAACTGTCAGGGTCACTCGCCTCTACATACAGCAGAGATACCAGAACCCACCTATCCCTCAAGATGAGGTGAGGATTAAATGAGACAGTATACTTAATGTGCCAAGGGTAGCACCTGCCACATATCGAATGTTCAGTAACTATTGCCAACTGTAATTTTGTATGGTTTAAAGCATCACACAGAAATATCCTTATTCAGGCTTATTCTCCCTCTATAACTGCACTAAAATGCTGAAGACCAAGGTGACTCCACGGGACAGACGCAGCTAAGGTAGAGGCCGCAGCTAAGGTCCTGAGACCTCTCAGATGAGCAAAAGCACAGAGAAACTTACAGTACGTGGAGAAGAGACCGGGAAAAAGAAGAAAATTAGGTCCCACTTCAATTACCTCTACCCAGCATTAATCACAAAGGCTGTATCAAGGTCTATTTTTATACCAACATTAGAGGTCAAAGCCAGTGGAGATTTCGAATTTTTTTTCTCCTTCTCAAATTACCCAGGACTCAAAGTGGAAAAGATGACCTGTTGGTTTGCTGACTGGATATTTTAGGCAGAGTCATGAGGCACTGACTTTTGTCTCCCTGGGACAGAGTAAGTGATGCCTTGTCAACCAGCTGGCCCATTTTGTTAATATTGACAGTTGATCCTAATAATGTGGTCAGCAAAGTAGGACCAGGGCTCCTGTATGATCTACTCTGGCTCCTGGATTCCACATGCAGGCTGTCTCCATTGATCAGATATAATCGAATAATGGCTGAAATTCTGCTCCTCGATGGGCCCTATAGGCCATTTCTTTATGACATGATCAAATTGGCCATAGCGCATTCAATTTGTTTTAATGGCCAACACAGATGCAATTAAGCGAATTGGCTGTGCAGCGATCCAAATTGTCCATTAAGAAGGTGGCCGAAATAACTGGACCAAACGCGTGTATAACCGTCCCCCCTCATCCAGCCACTTATTTTGGGATGTCTAGACTTGGTTGCGCCTTTAATTTTCTTAAAATCCTTGTTAACTAGTTCTCTGTAATGTTGATGACACCGATCTCTAGAATTACACAAAGCAGGTTTGGAAAATAAAGAGGAATTTTGAGGATGATCTTTAACTTTCTGAGCTGAGTGAGTTAATAGGAAATAAAACTTCCTTCAAGCTCTGAAGATTTACAAGGTTATGAGAATTAAATGCATTGGTGTAGATTGCTACCAGTATTCATGTTATGAGTAGGGATTTATCTCCCCACATTAGCAGACCCCAAGGTTGCGATCTGGTTCCATAACACGTACCTGCATTTGAACAATTGACAAACTGACTTCATCTATTCTACTTTGCTAATTCAATCTGTGAAGGATTACCACTCTTGCAGGAATTTTAAAGATGAAAAACACACCCGTTATATTATTGAACACAATTGATCTGTGAGAACCTGTGCATGGTCAGATGCATATATTTGATTCCTTTATGCAGTTATCAGAGACATTCTGTTTAGGAAATCTTGTTGATTAGGCAAAGGTAGAACAAGATGTTTGCAACAAGAAGTGTATCCGTAGAGAACTAGGTGTTGTCCATGTAAATAGACAAAGATGAATGAAACCAAATTGAACATCCTCACTGTCATGTTGAGCCTCTTATAGTCTTTATTTTCCATTTCAAGGAGCATTTTTCCTTCATGCTACATCTGTCATCAATTGTTGTTAAGAAAAATCAAGAGAGGCATCAAAGTAGAATAACGTAGCAAATAAATAAATACATTTCACCTTCTTTCTAAGCAATATATCTCTCCCACCATTTTCTAAAATTAATAGTATCTCAAGGGGAAATGTTGACTTTCCAAACACAATTTTCACTACAGTCTTTTTTTTTTTCCCTGCAGGACTCCCTCTATATCAGGTGTGGCTAGCTCCATTTGACTGATAAGGGAAACACAGCAAACTCAAAAAACTTACCAAGGTAACATGGTTATTAGTGGCAACAAGGGCTGCTGGCTCCAAGCTGGCTGCTCTGTGTGGGAAGCTGCATCCCGTTGATTGTAAGGAATGACCTGTAGCCCTACTGAGCATCTCTGCCTTGGAGAAAGGTCATCTCAGCTGCTACATCCCCAGTGTCTCAGTGTCCCCGAGTGCAAGCCATTTTCTTGGAAGCCATGTGGTATGATGGTTAGAAAGTGAAGTACCTGGATTTGAAGCCATCCATTCTTTGACATTCACTAGCCATAATGTGGCTCCTCGTTTTACTTAGATATGAACTAAAGTTAATGACAACATCCACCTCCTGGGCTGGTTCTGTGTTATCTCCTGAACAGGTTTGTAAATGCTCTCTTGTTTACCAGTATGCACTGACTGGACAACTATGGGTACCTAGCTTTCAGTAACTATTTGTAAATATTGTTCAGTAAATATCCAGTAGGTATCTGTTGAATTAGAAAGTGAGGAATAAGGAAGACAAAAGTGCTGCATGCTTGTCATAAAGTCATGAGTGCTCATTCAACATTCATGAGGAGTAACAACAGTGTTAGTAATGGATTATGGTAGAAAGATGGAGCCTTGGCTTCTTCATCTCTATAATGTGCTGAATAATATTCTTCTCTTAGTGTTGCTGGAATTAACTTAGAAATTTTTGTGCAAGATGCCTGTGATGGAATACACTCTTGGTACTACTCAACTATTATTTATTATTGTTGTTGCTATTATTTAAAAGTTTTGAACCTCTCCAAGACTTTGCACACCTGCAGGTCTTACTATTCTTATTAGGTGCTCACTGCATGCTGGAAGTTTCTCGCACAACACAAACTCTACCTAAAATATTTATGTTCCTATTTTGCAGATTGTAGAAACTGAGGCTCAGATGTGCTCAAGGTCATAGCTGATGGGACTTGGGTGCCATCCCGCTTTCCTGAAAGTCTCCAGTTTCTTTTTTTTTTTTTTAAATAAGGATTTATTTATTTATTTGAAAGGCAGAGTTACAGAGAAGTAGAGGCAGAGAGACAGAGGGAGGGAGGGAGAGAGAGAGAGGGAGGAAGGGGGGGAGGGAGGGAGAAATGGCTGCAGCTGGGCTGATCTGAAGCCAGGAGCCAGGAGCTTCTGCTGGGTCTCCCATGTGTGTATAGGGACCCAAGGACTTCGGCCAACTTCTACTGCTTTTCCAGGCCATAGCAAAGAGCTGCACTGGAAGTGGAGCAGCCGGGCCTCGAACTCGCGCCCATTTGGGATGCAGGAACTGCAGTCAGCGGCTTTACCCGCTCTGCCACAGCATTGGCCCCTCTAGTTTCTTTAGACTCCACATGACCCCAGCTGGTTGTGCTTGGCCTTCCCCACATCAACGCAGAGGTCAGTCACTGCAAGAGTGAACCTACAGAGTGAAGGACAGAGGAAGTACCGTTCTTGGTGCCTGTGCCCCTGCCCTATGAGGATAAGGCCAGGATGAATATCAAACACACGGCCCAGACAGTGACTCACTGTCCACTAAATGATGAGTGAGTCCCTCCTCAGACAGAGACTGCCTAACAGGTGCCTAGTATCCCTGGCCAGTCCCCAGAGGCTCCACGGGAATGCAACCACAGAGGGTCTTTGTCATGGTATCATTACCATAAACTCGTGTCAGGTCATACCTCATATTTCCTCTCGATTTAGAGAGAAAGATTAATTTTGTGGTCCTGAGTTAATACCTCGCCTTCTGCCCTGCCACCCAGCTTCTCCATAGGCCATTTATCAGCCTCAAAATAGTCATCGTTTATAATCCACAGCAAATTTAATAATACCTGTGAAACACGAACCGCCTCATCAACCCTTCTCTTTTCTTACAGTGGCACAATTAGCCAGATGATGAAGTTCTTTAACATGAAAGAAAACACTAAAAAATATTGATTTTCTTCAGAGCCATAAGATTAAATATATCATTCCATACTGAAGTGGGAACTAATTTAGAAGAGGTGTATAAATCTAGAACTATCTGAGTGTGGTGACATTTAAAAAAAAAAAAACCCTAACCAAATATTACATACAAATGTGTGTGTGTGTGTGAGTGTGTGTGTATACTTCTCTATCATTAAATTACCGTTTGGATTTCCACTAATAAAATATAAGAACTTGTTTCTGTATTAGGCAAGTCACTCCCATTATTAATTTGTTAGATAAATGGCTTCTATATCTCTAAACTTTAAATGAAATGGAATTCACTAATCCTAATTGCTTTGCCTTCTACCGGAATTTTTTCCCATTAGTTCAGCATGTTTTTCCCCCTCTTTTCCACTTGAAGAGAGGAGCCTTCTTCAACTTAAAGCCTTAGGGTATACTTCCTGGGTTTATTAATTATCAGGTATTCATTCAGAGGGGTTAATTAAGCCATAACTTTCTGTTGACTGCAGTATACAAGGAATAAAAGGCTTGACTTCGCCTGCTGATTAAGCTCCTAGTGACCGTGCCTTCATTTTCTTCCCTGTGGTTGAGTGAAATAAAAATCTTAAAATTTTTTTATTTATATAAGGTGCACCAACTTCATGTATTTCATGGATACAGAGTTAAGAGCATAGCAATACTTCCTACCCTACCTTCCCTCCTGCCCATAACCCCATCCTCCCTCCTCCTTCCCTTCTTAGTCTTTTAATTAAAGTCTTTGGTGAGTTCTGGTCTTGGGTTGCAAGGCCAGTTAAAAATCAGTTAATATTTACAACTCAAGTCACCTTGAGATCATCCAGAAAGAGAAGGGGAAATTTTATCCCTAGTATCTTCTCTAAGAATCACCGTTCTTTTTTTGTTTTTGTTTTTTTCTAGCCCACAGCTTAAATGTTTCCATCTTTCTTCCTTTCAGCCAATTGTTCAAGACACCTTTCCTTTACTAGGAATTCACTAAGTCTGCAGCATGCTTTTGTGTCACAGAAAGTAATGACTGATTTTCTTCCCTTCCTTAGGGAGTTCGGTAAAATCAAAATAAGTCAAAACCTGATAACTCTATAAGTCAGGCATGGGTGGAGTGGTTTACAAACTGTTCTTGAAATTTCTATGATGAGGTTAATTTCAGCTTACATTCAGTGGTTACTGTCCCCAGATGAAAAGGATGAGAGAAGCACATCACACCTGCAGGGAGGTGAGCTTCCTGGCCATTGGCCCAACCTCAGTGATCAAGAGAAGAAAGAGGTGAGTACCCTCACCGGTACCGCTAGTCAACCTCTAGGGGGTAACAAGATTTAGATAGACTAACATATCAATCATCACATCTTCAAAACCAGGATCCTGGGATGTTCTAGGAGGCTTCTATGGGAAGAGGAGAAAAACGAGATCTTTTGGAAAATTTTTGCATAGAAATTTCCAAATCCATAACTAACCTTGCCTGAAAGTTGCATGACAACACGAGAAAGTGGGGAACTGCCTCACCGTATCCCCATGTCCCTTTTCTCCTGGGCCTCCCTTTTCTAGAAGAAGTCAAGTGAGTTGGCTCCTTGCCTAGAAGAGACAGCATGTATTGCCGTGGTCACAAATTCAGGACTGGGGTGATTTCCACATGGATCTGAGCCACGGCTCTGCCATTTGTTAGATGAGTGAATGACCTTGAGCTCTCTGAGACTCATAAACATACAATCTTGTTTTTTCCATGTAACGATTTGATAAGATAGGTATTTCTCTAATTCACCTATAACAGATGGGGAAATGGAGGAATACAGAGGTTAAGTAAATTATTCAAAGCCACTCAGCTATTTCAAATGTTGATATGAGATCAACTAAGATGTGGGTGAAATCTTTGGGGTGAGGCTGGTTCTACGAAGGATGTGAAAATGTCAGTAGTTGCTATCATTCCATGCTAGCTTAGCTGCCTTTTTCCTACCAAAATGCTCTGTGTCTGAAATAAACAGGTATGAACTATGACTATTTTTTTCCTTAAAATGTAACAGATAAATATGCTTTTCTTCCACAGAATTCAGATGTCCCAACACACACACATACACATGAATGCAAATAATCTTGCTTATAAGTCTTTATGCTTGGTAAAATGTGCAGAACACCAAAGTATCAGGAGGCGTACATACCTAAGACCACGTAAGGGATTACAATACTCACCCTTAAGAAAGGACATCCCTGTACTAGACAGAGATCAGAAATGTCTATGTTGTGGTTCTCTCCCCAAGAGCATAACACTGAAAGGAGGAACAAGAGCAATTGCACAATAAAAACAAAACTAACAAACAGTGCTTCAGCCGGGTGACGGAATTCAGCAGCATCAGGTGTATCTCCGGTTGATCTGTGTCTCTGGTGTGGTGCTAGAAGAATGGCACTTCACCTCTGGGGTCTTCCTCCCTCTAACCTGCAAACTCAGTCTTATCATGACAGGTCCACCAGAAGAGCATTCTACAGGACAACTGTCCGTATTGCTCCAAATTATCAGTGTGGTCAAAAACAAGCCAACAGGGACTTCTGGAAGACATGATGACTAAACACATCACGATGCCCGGGTTGGGATCCTGGAATAGAAAGACATTAGACTGAAAAAAAATTCTAAGAAAATCGGAATCAATTATGGACTTCAGTTAATAATAACATAACAGGGTTAGTTCATTGATTGTAACAAATGCCTCATAGTAACCTAAGACATTAATAAGAGAAACTGCTTGCAGGAGCAGGTGGGTGAGTGACATATGAACTCTGCACAGTCTACCCAGTTTTTTCATATATCAAAAACTGTCCTTAATGGCTATTAATAAAAATTACAGAAGTAATTTTTTCAAACGCATACAGCAAACAAAAGGATACCTTACTGACTCTGCATCAAGCTTCAACTGCCATGCCCACATCAAGGGAAACCCGAGCCAGGTGGATGAAGTAAGATACGTGTTCAGAAGGATGGTGGTCGAAACGTTTTCTCTCTTGGACTGTCTGCTTTCCATCCTGGAGCCCCGTTGGCCAGGGAGTCTCAAATCTTGGAAGTCCCCAGACGAAAACGGGGCCCTGTCTGAAGATACAGCCTTCTGTCACCCATCAGGACTCTGTGGGCCCATGGCTTCCAGAGTCATCCTTCTCTGTCTGTGCTCACGGGCATGCCTCTGTGCTCCTGTGTGGGAAGGGCGGAGGAAAACGACTTGTTAAATGGTTAACCTGTGCAGGCCCTGTGTTTGTAGCATGTGCCTGCCTTCAGGAAGCCTGCAGTGCCCTGAAGAACAGGGCAGCAGCCCCACCTGAGAGTGACACCAAAGTTCCCATAGTTAGCATCTATGGCAACAGCTGTGAAGGGTGGGAAGGAGGTCATATATCCCCGTTAGGACCAAGAGGAAGAATCTAGAAGGCTGGTGATCACAATGGCACACAGTCCTGTGGTTCCTCTGGTGAGCCCACAGCCCTCTCCTTAGTTACCTTATTCCTGGTCTTTGGTGCAACAAGCTAAATTCAGCATTTCCAAGGACAAAATAGGAGCAGTTGTGACCATGAGACTACAAACGCTTTTTCTTAAGCTGTCGCAAGGGACAGGCTCTGGGGCAAGTGCAGGCAGCAGATGGCTGGGCCGTGCCTGCTGCTTCCAATCTCATCTTGCACCACTGGGCTGGTGCATCCTACATACGCAGCAAGATTCTGCTGAATGGGAGGAAAGCGCCAGTATGTGCTCCAGATCTAGAAAGTGCATACTCTTGGTGTTTGGCGAGCGAAATCCAAAACCAACAAGAAAGAACAAGAAGCCAGAAATGGGAAACTGAAAACATCGCGCTGTCCTGGAGAGCAGTGTTTTGGTTTAAGTTTACAGTCCTGGAGTAAAGGCAAGGAGAAAAACTGGTTCTTCAAGTTGGTGTGGGCGGAGAGGGGCAAGAAAGTGGTGGGAGAGGAGATGGGGGCAGGGAGCAGGCTGGGGAGAGATGAATGAGAAAGTCAGGGAAGAAAGAGAGGAGAACAAGGAGCCTAAATTCAATTTATTATTATTGTTGTTGTTTTGCAAACTAGAACCTTTGACTGAATTTCAGGTATGGGGTGAAAATAAAGACTGAATTCACTTATTACTATGTATATATGAAAGACATACAGGTAGAATTTCTTTCATATACATGAAAGGGTTCATATATGCATAGCTAAACACACAGGTGTACATAAAAAAATAAGGGAAACACCATTTACTGGAAATTAAAAAAAATATAATCTATGCCCTGCCTCCCTAAAAACAAAATGGTTTGTTCCCTGTTAAGAAAATTTTCTTAGGTTGTTAAATAGGAAATACAGAATGCCAAACTGTGAAATACAGCAAAAAGAGTTCCAAAGTAGGAGTTCATATCATTAAACACTCACATCAAAATAAAAAAAAAAAAAAGAAAACTATCAGTGTGGGAAGTATGTGTGTCATGGAGGGAGGTTCAGTGAGGAATGAGAATTTTCAATGGTGCAACGGAATCCCAAGATGCTTGGTTTTAATGACTTCCTATTCGTGCAGCCATGATAAAATATGGCTTCCATGTTTAATCTCTGACTTGAGACTACACACTGCAGAACTCCAGCAAAGATGCCAGGAGCAGCCAGGGCCACCAGACATGTTCCTTCCAACAGACTCTGTTGGCTTGTGAGTGACGGCTGTTTCTAGCAGGCGCTGGGACGAAGCTCGCTGCACTGTACACCTCCAAAGAGTGCAGAGGCTCTGGTGAACAGGGCGTGGCAAACACGCCTGACTGTGCCGGGGACATTCAGTAGCATGTAAGTCTGCAGAGCTGGAGCACCACTCTCACACCTGCCCATCATTGCAAGACCCAGAGCAGACAGATCTGGTTCTGTGAGACACTTCTGGGGGGATGTGCACATCGCATATCAGAGTGCCTGGCTCAAGTCCTGGCTCCTTAGCTTATGAATCTGCTTCCTATTAATTTGCACCCTGGGAGACGGCAGATGACAGCTGAGGCGCTTGGGTCCCTGTGAGAGAAGCCGATGGTGTTCGGGGCTCGTGACTTCCACTTAGCCAAACCGTGCACCCTTTTCCCTAGAGTGCCTGGGCTATAGGAGTGTTCCTAAACTCCTCTCAGCAAAACAGTCACCTAGATGCTTACTAAACACACAGCTTCCCAAGTCCTTCCTGCAGATCTCAACTTCAGTTGCACATTAGAGTCAACTGGGGAGCTTTTAAAACTCCTGATGACCAAGCTGTCTTCCAGGCCAATTCCATCAGAAACATGGGTGTGGGATGCGGGCATCAGTAGTTTTAGAGTTCCCAGGTGATCCCCACGTGCAGCCAGGTTTGAGTGCCACTGTAGGCTTTGTGATTCAGCAGGTCTGCATTGGGACCTTGGAACCTGGATGAGCAACAGGTACCCCAGGGGAGTCTCATTGTCATGCAGTGACTTTGCAAATACAAGTTGAGTATCCCTGATCTAAACTACTTGGGGCCAGAAGTGTTTCTGACTTTAGATATTGTTTCCAGATTTTAGAATATTTCTAATATATATATAATGAGATACCTTGGGAGTAAGACCCAAATTGAAACATGAAATTCATTTGCATTACATGTATGCTTTATACATATAGCCTGAAGTTCACTTTATAGAATATCTTTAATGATTGTATTCACAAAACAGAGTTTTACAATGTGGAATTTTCCATATGTGGTGTCATGTTGGTACTCAAAAAATTCAGATTTTGGGGCATTTTATATTTTGGATTTTTGGCTTAGGGGTATTCAACCTGTGCTGGACCACAGCCTTGGCACCAGATCCAGAATTGTTTCTGAAAGGCCAATTTCTCATATTATTGTTCAATCAGAACTCACTCTCCTGGGCATGGCTCAGGGCTCCAGTAGTAGACTCCTGATTATGTTTGACCAATCACATTCTCTCACCTGGGATATAGGAAGAGGGGAGTCCCCTGGTTGCAAGTGATTGTTTTCTTGTAAGAAGATAAAGAATAGATTTGGGATTGCCTTCATTATCCCTGCATGGTGAAATTGGGACAAAAGAAGGAAAGAAAACGTAGTAGAGACCAACTGAGAGAAAAGAAGGTATTAAGAGACAAAATGGGGAAGGAAGGAGAAAGGGAGAGGTACACATGGATCCATTCCTGCTTCAAAATCCTCGTGAGGCCAAAGGACCTACTCTACCGGTAGGCTTATAAGATACTCCTTAGTTCTTTAAATTCTCTATGTGTTTCAATGCACTTCTCTGTATTTTCCAAATCAAGTGGATTTTTCTCTCTTCCATCTGTAAAACATCTGAGATACTAATTCTAGAGCTGGTGTGGT